TTAACAAGTGCAATGCTCTTTCTTTGAAAGGAAAGCACAAATGATCAATAAGCTAGATTCCTAGCATATGGTCATCACTTAGTTCATACTTGAAAGCGGAAGACACCACACAATATTTTTTTTAGCATGCATGGAATTACCACAATCCTAAATCATATCATTTACAAGTTTGAACTCCCCAAATTATATTATACAAGGTTAATGATATAGTGAATATTCAGTTTTGAGATTGATCGTCTAAGTTCTCTATTTCAACCTATAAACATGAATCAACCTACTCATGTACAACACCACAATTAACTCACGTACATAAATACTTTACGTTCTGCATGAAAAAAAAAAATTAACTAAAACACATAAGATATTCATGATCCATAAACTAACACATGTCCTCAATAATATATTATTACCGACAAGGCTATCTAACTCACACAAGTATGCAAAACAAGTAAATTCTCTTTTTTTTTCCTTAAAAAATACATGCACACAAATCACACAAAATAAAAATGTTAGGCAATTAGAAAATTTATAATATACCTCCAAACTTAAATTGAATATTGTCCCCAAAGTAAAATTAAAGAAAAGTGAGGAGAGCTTCCCTAAATTATCTGCATTGCCTATGACGTTTTGGTGCTTATGATATTGGATTTGATGGATATTTGTCATACTTCTCCCCCTAATTTGAGAATTATCCCGTTTGATCATTGTCAATGTTGGTTTGAATGTTTCGTGACGTCATGTTCCTGAAAAATCAAATTTTAGATATTAAATATATGGAACAATGTTACTTAGCTCAAACATCTAATAACCAACTTAACTACTCAAGAACCTAGGAGAAGACGAGATGATGATTCCTAAATAAACTGTAAAATAAACTTAACTATCCTATAACTCGAAAACAAAATAAATAAAAATGAAAGAAAGCTCGGGTTGCCTACCAAGAAGTGCTTCTTTAACGTCATTAGCTTGACATAACCGAGGTGTCTACGTTGGATCTTCAGGTGGCACTTTTCTCTTTTTTCTAAACTTTACCCTTGGCTTTGTATTCTTCTTCACTGTAGCATAGCCAATAGAGTTGAACAATTTTAACTCTGGTATAGCTACCAAAACCACTTTTGATTTGATAATGTTGGGAGGTTTCAGAGGTTCTTCAGTGTAGTTCTTCAGTTTGTCAAGTGGATCGACTTCTTAAGTTAAAATGAAATCCACTACTTCCTTGGT